TCTTAGTAGTTTTTGTGCAACATAGGATAAAGTTGTTCATCTGTCAGCAGAACTTTTCTTAAATTTGAAGGTGATTTGCTTGTTTTCACTCCAGTTTTAAAGCATAGCATAAGAAGTGGAATTTCATTTTGAAGTCGATGATCATAAGCATGTTTGGATGAGCTTAAAAGTTACTTAACTCAGACTTACCAGTATTATCATGAAAAAAATAAGTTCTAAAATAAAAAAGTTATATTTGACAAAATAAGCAACTAAAACCACCAATTTAGCAGGTAGAAAAACGGGTTAAGTATAATTAAAGTTTCCTGCATCTATATATACACGCACATAAAAGACCCCCCGGAAAAATAAAATAGATTACCTTAATGAAAAATATGCTTTTGGCTGTGTCAAAGGGGGGCATTTAAACCATTAAATTAAATAGTTCAAGCAAATTCCAAAAACTGGTCATCCATGACTATCTGCTTTGAAAGTAATAGAAATTGTAGTAATACTGTATCGTATCTGTGTATGTCTCCTCCTCGCCATAAGAACTGACGAAGGATTTATCCAGATCCGACCCTCATTATTATTTTGCTTTGTTCAGGCTTTAGGACTACTGAGGTTCCTGAGATCCCTTTCCTTCGCGTACCAGTCAGGTATTATTTTTGCAGCATGAGGATACAAATCCTTGTATGCATTCTTGATAGTCCCTTCTGCAACTGTGGTAGCAATTGAAATATCTGCATGAATGTCGTTTCAATTAAGTACAAGTACACGAAATGAAACTTCTTATGAATAAAACTACTCCTATAGCTAGCCAAGCTCATATGTAAATCTCATTTTTTAAAAACAAAACGCAATGTGGGAGAACTAATGATATAACACGACTTGCAGAAACGAAATTATCTTAAAAAATCACTGAAAACACCAATGCACACAGATGGTGACTGCTCAAACCTCGCAAGGCTTTCTTTGAATCTGACAGTTGAGTTATCATGAAAATAATTGCTGCAGCGATGGATATTGGGCTCCTCCTGCAAGAAAACAAAAACAAGAAATGTGAACACAAGGCAAACAACAATTGATGAAACAGTAAAAAATGTATTTCCTGGAATCTGCTCACTTCTCTTTAAAAGGGAAATTTGCATTTGTTTTCCTGGTCCATTTATAAACATGACTCAAAACCAGTAAAGCACAGCAACTAAGAAATTTACATTTCATTAAATGATTCTATGCCAAACAATGTGGAATTTTAAATGCATGGCTAAATGGTGGGATGTCATGAAACTCGAAGTTCCTGTCAAACCATTAAAGAAACAAATAGAGGTGAGATAAAAGATAAGATATTATACCTTATATCAAAGTCCCCTGACTTCTTGACAGTTTCTTGGACAGCTTTGATTTCTTCGTGGCTCATACCAAGATTAGAACAAAAACGCCTCTGATAAAAAATAAAAATAAGATGAGAATGAGATTAATTGAATGGATAGTGAAGACTAGCTACTATACACGTATCAAGGAGAGACTTCGAAGCTATATGAAAGATCTAATTAAGCATCTTGTCTCAAGCAATATTATCATCACAACTAACTCACCAGATAATCCCCAGCATGTATGGTACCCATTTCAATAGATTCACCCATCTCAACCTTCAATTGTTTCACAATAAATTCTTTTGCTCGGCCAATTTCTTTCTTCGTTGCTCCATTTGCAATAGAACATATTTCTATTGATAACCACAGGTCAAGAGGAGTTTCAACACAGGATAAGATTAAATAAAAAGGTATCTAAATGTTCAAATGATTATAGGTAGCACCTTTTACAGTGCGCGGTTTGCCTTCTTGCCGGCAAGCAATGTAAATACAAGCAGCCACTAGAGCATCCAAATTTCTTCCTCTTGTACACTTCTGATCCTCCAACCTTTTATATATTTCACTGGCCCGATCCTTCAAAAGAGGTTAGCATCTTATGTGAGACTTTGAATTATGACAACTTGCAAGACGTGTGAACATGTAAAATTTAACAAGTGGTCACTTCTATCTAAAGTCTAAAAAGAGTGACAGCACCGGAAAATTTGCTTCATTATATAAAAATTATATCAAGTTTTCTACTTTAATTGCATGTTTAGATCATGAATAGAAGAGACATTAATGATATAAATAACTTCATCCCAAGAGAAAATAAAAATAAAACTAGCGGCATGCCAAATACAAGAGGTTTTAGGAAACTCAAATATTAGGGAACCAAGTCTGGGTTTAGGAACTCATCGCATAAGATAATTGCGGGTTTCAAATATAATGAAAAAAGTAATAAAATAACAGCAAAGATACGCCCGATAGCAAAACCCATGCGGAATATATGACATCCCCTGTAAGCTGTTTCTATATATGATAATAAAATTTCTTTCCAAACACAGGAAAGGAAACGAGAGAAAAGAGGGGGGGGGGGGTTGAAATAACCTACGGTAAAAGATGTTATCGTAGTAAATTGGATTTTACATCTCATTACACTATTTTTGTCAAAAGACAGAGATGAGGAAGAAGAATACCTTAATAGTTGCAACAAGACTCAACCTGGAAAGGAAGACAGAAAACATTAGTTCTGTTAAATGCTCTTCCTATCAATCAATCTTGAAAGAACAAAAGGAAATCACAAATAGATTAGCTATTACATAAACACTGGTCAATGGTTTGGCTTTCTTTTTAGACAAGATACCACCCAAAAACAAGCAAGTTAATCACATAAAATTCAATGATTAATAGAACTTACCCATTTTAGTCCAATTTAATTTTAAAAGTCTCATTCAGATTGCCAACGGTCTTTACCCTAGAAACTAAAATCATAAATAGATGAACATCATCGGTTTCTTGATAGCTCTGAAGAAAGGTCAGTAGAAATAAGCTCTGTTTCTAAAGCAAAATGACAGCATGAGAAATTACAAAATAATCTATACAGGTACACAACATTCAGAACATTACATGACACTATGATCATTAATGCCTTGGTCAAACACACAACCAGATTCAAAAAACTTCACAAGAAGCAAAACTCAAGCCATACAAATATAAGTAGAAAATGCCCTAAAAAGAACAAAATCGTGCATTTCAAACAAGAAACTAAAAGGTTAATTGCTCTAGAAGATCTCTTTTTCTCTTTTTTGTTGCTTCTTTATGAATCAGACTAATACAATTCCAATCAACGCCAAAACTTTACCACCCTAAATATATATATTTTAGACCTTTCAATATAAACCCCCAAGTGAAACCTTTTCTTCTTTATCCTAATTCCGTGAACACTTTTTTGATAAATTTCTGGAAAACCCATCAGTTCCTTTGGAAAGGTTTTACCTTAAAACCCACAGGTTCACATATCAAGTAAAAATCGAAACCTAATAATCAATAACAAATACAGACCTATCAGCCATATTGGAAATGGCCTTAAAGGCCAATACAATAGCCCGCTCAGGATCACCACCGCGGTTCTGCAACCGGGAAAGGGATCCATCCCCGTTAGACCCATTAGGTCCTCGCGAAATCACAGTCGAAAGGGCCGCATCAGCAAGAAGCGGATTAACAGGTCCTCCAACACGGTTCGGGTCATGATCGCCCGAATCATCAGCGAAAATCCTCCACTCAGAACTCTCATCGATGGAACGGGACTCAAGCACAAGACCGCACTCGGAACACACAGTATCGCCCGCCGCGTGATCGGATACCACCTCCGTGTTCCTCTTGCAGTCCGAGCAGTACGTATCCGACATTGAAATCGATTTACAATTCCTCTTAGAATTTTTATATATTTTTTTTCTAGCTCCTCTCTCTCTCTTTAAATCGTGAGCTCGGGTAAATAACTAAGAGGGAGGGGAGGAAACAGGGATGAACTGGGGGAGACAGAGATGTACGTTAGAGGGGTCAATGGTGTATATATAGACGGAGGAGCGGGTTGGGTTGGCGCAGTGGTGGCGTGGTCCAAACTCATTTCTTGAATATTTTACATTTAACTATATATTAAAATACAAAAAACATGCTATTTTGGGTGGTTGCGTATGAAGGTTCCTCGTCTCTTTATTTATTTATTTTCTCCATTATCATCTTGACAAGAAAATGAATTTTTATCCATTCATTTTTGGCATGTGAAAATAAATTTTTTTTTTTTTGTATTTTTGTAATGGTATATTCAAAACGATAAATAGTGTTTTCTATGTTTAATCGACACCAGTAGTCTGACTTTCAAATTGAGATTTCATCTAAATCGTAAGATTATCGGGAAGAAAAGAAAGGGGATTCTCGCCTACCCATTGAAGATAGTAAAAATAAGTGACTTGGTGCTTCATATAGGAAAAATGAAAGCAGAACATCCTTAACGTTGTACAGACATGTGAAGGACATTGCATCAAAATTTCGTAATTCAAGATAGTTATAACAAGAAAATTCAAGATATGCTGATATCACCCTGCTTTCTAATTTTGGAATGAGTTTGAAATGAGTATGAGTTTATTTTAATTTGAGTTTGAAAATTAAGATATTCGTTGTTATTTTTATTTAATAGAGCTTTTATTATTTTCGTAGCATTCTAAAAATATGTAAAAGATATTGTATTTATTATTTGGGTTAAATATCTCAATTATTTTGCAGGCAACGCAGTTAATGTCACAGACGGTTGGTAACAGAGTGATTTAATTGAAATAAAAAGATAAATTTAGTGGTCAAATTGAAATAAAATTAAGTTAAATGACCACAATGAAACTTTATTACAAGTTTGATGATCAGCACTCGTAGCGAACCTTTTACAAGACCGAATTAGCTAATTTTGCCGAATTTTGCTAAAAAATTTTTTTTTTTATATCCAGTATTTCAACTTACGCCAAATTAAATTCTGGATCTCGAGACCCTTATCCCTAAAACATTGAAAGGGGTAAATAGCGGAGTATATCTCAATTGGATTACACGTTCCTTCACCCATTATCTGTACACTTCTACGTACAATATTGCTTCATACCCCGCAGGTTCCCACGAGGAATGAACTCTCCACCCTACGGCTCCAACGAATTTTGCTATTTGTCCCGGGCGTTGGTATAGCACGACACAATTTTGCCGGTCCAAGGTTTAAGCATTTCGCTCATCCCCACTCGCCAACGCGCCACAACACTCCACCTTCTTTGCCACCGCCTATACGCACAGGGAAACAGAAATGATTACAGTGAGGAAAATAGTGAAGAAGGCGACTTTGCTAGGAGAAATGGGCTTTAACAAGGGAGGTGGGAACATTAACTGGTTCCCAGGTCACATGGCCGCCGCCACTCGTGCCATAAGGGACCGCCTCAAACTCTCCGACCTCGTAATCGAAGTCCGTGATGCCCGAGTATGTTTTTTCATGTCTCAATTAATCGTAACTTGATATTCTATCCATTGCCAGTGTCAAAATTTTATACAAACTTCCCGAATTGATTTATTATTAATCTGCTTTTGGAATATGGAGTTTGAAAATTTCAGGAACTAATAATATTTTGGGGGGCTTGTATGTAGATTCCATTGTCATCAGCAAATGAAGACTTGCAACCTATGCTTGCTGGGAAAAGGCGTGTCATTGCTCTCAACAAGAAGGACTTGGCTAACCCTAACATCATGCATGTAATCTTTTTTCTCCCTTTATATGTCAACATAAGACAATTGTCTCGTACGTGTGTTTTTATTTATTGATATTGTTAATCTTTTATTACGAAGATTTGTTTTTTCTTTAAGATTTTTAGTGGTCTCATACTGATTTGTCATGAGTATTTCTATTCTGTACTCTTTTTGTGTATGTGTGTTGCAGTAGGGTTGCCACATGAGCAATGCACTATTAATCTATTATGTTTGTTCGGTCTCAAGATTCTATTTTTTTAAGGGCCGTAAGAACAGCTGGATTACAATATTTTACTAATGTAAACTGGATTGTGTTATAATTCCATTGTTAGTCTTTCTTAAGTTCCAAATTTATACTTCTGCAGACAATATTGTTAGAGGTATTATGTGATTCGAAGCTCTAATTTACTATAATCAGTAGGATGTTATGCAGTTGTATTTGTTTTTCTGGATAAATGAACCTTTATCATGTTCAATTATCTTGCTAACTTTCAATGATTAGCGCTTTTGTGTGTAATATACATATGAATAATTGGTGGATATCTTGTTGGAACATTAACAGTGATGTTTACAGATTTAATTCTATGCAGAGATGGATTCACCATTTTGATTCACATAAACAAGATTGTCTTTCAATCAATGCACACAGCAAAAGTTCTGTTAAAAAGGTTAGTCAATGTTATTCATTTATTAATCTAAAAATAATTAATTTCTGTGTGATAGGCTCACTTTTGAATTTTCTTAAAGATCATGGAGTTCCTTTAAGAGAAAAGAAATCTTATTTGTGTTGGCTATGATAGTAGCGACAAGATTTCTTGCTTGTAACCTTATCTCTGAGCCATCCATCCATATGTTAGTTAAAGGCCGCTTAATTCTAGATCTGTCGGTTTGCTCTATATTAAATTTCTGATATGTGCATAAATGCTTGAAAATTTACATTACTTTTCAAGCTTTGGACAAACCTCCACTCATGAGGGAAAAGATTTAGTCTTGACTACTTCCAAGCATTTTCTGATTATTGATTATTGTCCCAAAGCTTCTTGATCTTGTGGAGTTCAAATTGAAGGAGGTAATCTCAAGGGAGCCAACGCTCCTTGTCATGGTTGTTGGTGTTCCCAATGTTGGCAAGTCAGCCTTAATCAATTCTATCCATCAGACAGCGTCAGCTCGCTTTCCAGGTGTGATTCTCATTACAATTACAATTTTTGTAGGGTCTTTCTTAAGAACGTTGTCAGCATTCACTAAGTAAGCATGGTGTCTCAAACAATGATTGTTTTTCTTGCATCATAGCGCAGGAGAAAAAAAAGCGGGCCACAGTGGGACCATTACCTGGTGTTACTCAAGATATTGCTGGGTTCAAGGTAAATCCTTCCCCCCCCCGAAAAACAGTAATGTTTATTTATTCAGCAGTCAAAATTGTTTTTCAGTGCTGAAGTTTTGAAAAATATGCATGCAACATTGAAAAGGAGATTCAGTTAGGACTGATATATAACCATTTGATTCCTTTGAGGTTTATCATTCTTTTACTCCAATCATTGTATTTAAGTGTGATTCATTTTATGAACATATCCAATTTCAACTTGTTGAACTATGGCTACTTCTTTTCTTATTGTTGCACTGTATTGGTGGGTACACATACTTACGGAGGGGAGCTGATTCTGTGATAATGCTAGTCTTGAACGAATTGTGCACAACTAGTATACACCCAAGAATGTTAGGGCTAGTGAAATAAGATGTCACTCCTTATGGAGCACGAATTTTACTAGGTTGTATGAGTAGTTTAGTTATTTTGCGGTCTTTTTATTGGTTTAATGCTATTAGGAGAGATCATGAGAGCGAGCCAACAGTTTTTTTCTTATTTCATGTTCTATTCTTGGTTTTATTCGGTCAGACTTATTACAATTTGCGCACAAGTACCTAAGATCTGAATAGTAATCAATGTTTTATCTGTCTTCCTCTCTGAGCAGAGTACAACCATACCACATCCTTTTAAAATTCATTTCTCCATCAAATTCATTGGTTTCCTCAACATTAAGATAGCACTCTTGCACTTAGAGATCTGGTTTACTCCATCTTTCTAGCTTCTTTTCCATTTTACGTCCTTTATGTTATCTCCTCATCCCTGCCCCTATCAAAACAAGGTCCCCAGAAAGAAAAAGTTATTATGTACCAAATTTGTCTCGTTATTCGAAGCAATTTTTGCGATCATTATATGAAGTTGGAAACAGAATTACAATGAGTTTCCAGTTATTAACATTAAACTTATGAGGATGAACTTGATCAGTAACTCTCAACTGTTTGACTGACATTTACTGAATTCCTTCTAGTGTGTTTAGTAAAGTACATATATACCCCTGTTCTTCTACTATTCTGATTATAATTTTATTTTTGCTCTCAGTCTTTGTCATTTATTTAAGCCGGTGGCTTTTGCTTAGTCTTTGTATCATTATTCTTGCAGATTGCCCATCAACCTAGCATATATGTTTTGGACACTCCAGGGGTGTTGGTTCCAAGTATACCTGACATAGAAACTGGGCTGAAGCTAGCTTTAGCAGGTTCATATTATCTTTTTAGGTTTACTTGTGTATCGACTGAATTCTTTGACTTGGGTTGTGCTGCAATTCTTCTAGCAATATTTTGAGATTACATAATCTTAAAGTGCAACCGATGTAATGCAAATCTTTCACTGTTTATATTTCATCTGTTCAGTGACATGTCGGAATGAATTGTTGAAAATGAACAACTCTGGCTTAGCGTGGTTGTGATCATTTGCAACTCTAGATATATTGATCCAGACCACATTTTTGTATCCAATATCTTGAATTGACCTACCATCTGAATATCAAAATGGATTTAGAAGTGAGAAACCATTTCAGATATTTCTTCACTCACTCCATTTGCTCTTGTAATCGGGAGGTTATCTATTTTTATCAAGTAAACATATGATCTGTGAATGATACTAAAGCAATCCACATTACTGTTTTGCGTAGGGTCTGTGAAAGATTCTGTCGTTGGTGAAGAGAGAATTGCTCAATATTTATTGGCAGTTTTGAACACCCGAGGCACTCCAATCCATTGGAAGCATCTCACTAATAGAGAAACTGAAAGTCTTCACCGTGAATCTGATGACAACCCCAATTATAATCTCCAGAATCTCCTACCGAAGTGGAGGAAGCCTCCCAGTAGTAAATCCGATGTGCATTATATTGAGGTAACTTTTAAGTCTTTCATGACTGACATACTGATTTTCTGGGAAAGTGACAGGCTTGGTGCTGGGGACCTCATTTTTTTTGGAGGTTCATCTCTGTTTTCAATTGGTGTAAATTGTATCCTACTCCATGTGTTGTTTTGACGTACGTAGAGCATGGGAAATAAAAAAAGCTGAACACAAATGGGAAGAAAATGTTCGAACTCAAGCCAAGATATCACTATGACTAGAATTTCATATGAAGATGGCCTGTTCCTGCCTGCATCTTCCTGTCTTTAGTTTTATGTGCTTGAAGCTGCTCTATTGATTGGCTAATGACTTTTAATCAATCATGCGATTATCTTCACTAATTTTTTATGTACACTTAGAGTGCATTAATACGATGGTTGCTTCCAAGAGAAAAATATTCTCAGGAATTTTATCAGCATTTCTGTGGACGAGGTTATATTTTCAATTCTCTCTATGTGAATCTGTCAACACAGGATATCACTACTGAAGTCAAACGAGCACTATGCACAACTCTCTTGGAATTCAGTGGTAACTTGGAGGATGAAGACGACCTAGGATGCCTTATAGACCAGCAGTTTGAAGCGTTACAAAAGGCATTAAAGATCCCTCACAAAGCATCAGAAGCTCGTACCATTGTGTCGAAGAAGTTCCTCACTTTGTTTAGGACAGGCAAACTTGGTCCTTTTATCCTTGATGAACTACCTCTTACCTATGGCCCTGTATCCTAAAACCTCCTTCGGAGTTTTATGTCCCCTTCCTATACAAATTGTACATAAATTTATATTTAAGATGATTCTATCCATCAAAGATTTTCACTTTTTATCTGATTATTATCATTATCTTCTTGCAGCTTATAACAAAGATAAGTTGAGATTATTTGCATTTTATTAGCTAAGAGGCAGTAGTGGAGTATTTTCTACATCAAAGGCCCAATGGTAGACAAAAAATTCCACTTGACACTATGAAACTCTAAAAACTATACGTTGAAACATAAAAATTTCATCATTTATGCTCTTAAGCTTACACTAAAAGTATGTAAGATATCAATGAAAATTACAGGGATGTTCAATCGAACAATTATAAATGTCAAAACTGAATTGCAGAATAATGCAGCAATAGACTGAAAGATCATTTATTTGCTTCGATGAACTCTCTGTACTCTTTCTTCATTTTGACACCTGATACAGTCCTGCATGGAGTAGGAGTTTACATTCAGCGTCAAAATTAGCCAAGTTCATGGGAGTCGACGCCAAGAGGTTTTTTCGAGCTCATTAAAAATTGTAAGCACGTTTTGTGATGCATACTTCTTGCATGGACTCGCCCAGTTAATACACTATGATGGGACGAAAAATGCAAACACCAAGTCAGGATGCTGGGATGGTTCGGGTGGGAAAAAGTATTAAGAGAACAGTTTTGCTAGTGGTACATCGGAGTGTATCTAATAGTGTACACCCCACTCACATGGGCGAGCGACCCATTCGAATAAAATATCATTTCTTTCACATGGGTCCCACACCCATGTGAGTGGGGTGTACATCATTCGGTACACCCCATTATGTACCACTAGACAAATTCATTAAGGGAATTCTGAAAGTGGTTCACTGGCAACATGTGGAGATGAAGATGTAACGAGAATTGGAAATGGGTGTGCTTGAATTTTCTCAACAAAACAACCAAGCCCCGGTCAAAATTTAAAGAGAGAAATAAAAAGATTAACATATGAGAGATACTTCCTTGGTTAGCAAAGTGTTAATGGGGCTCAACCCAATTTTTCATATCAAGAAGCTAGAATGGAATTTCTTGCTGTCAGAAATATGCTAATGAATATTTTGATGACTGAGATAAATTAAATCGTGACACACATATTTCGAGCAGAAATGCAATTTAACCAACCTCAACATTTCCTTGTTCTTGAAAAATTGCACACACGGTGTACCCATAATTCCAGCTGCCTCAGCAATCTCTGGATCTTCTTCTATATCAATCTCAACGAAATGGACATTCTGGTCAAATTCTTCTATCACCTGGACACAGTTTAGGAGTAGACAGCACTTCAAGAATTAGTTTTCTAATTCAGTACAGATAGACTCAATAAATTTTTAATTCTGTTCACAGAAAGGCAAGACAAAATATCATCAATACTAATACATCAATAGTTTCACTAAAAATATCTTCCGCCATGGGTAGATGAAATTTTCCAAACTGAACATTCATCAGGTTATGTATAGAAGATAGAACCTCATAAATATATGTAACCAGCTATATAACTATATTGGAACGAGTATATACCTTTCCAAGAATTGGTTTCAAGGTCCTACAAGGACCACACGTTGGCGAAGTATATAGTACACACACAAGCCTCGGACTTTCATGATACAACTTTCGCAGAGCATACTGAGACGAGTGAAAGATCAAGTTAAGAGGAAAGAGAAACATAATATCTCGTAATATTTAGGGTAGGTTTAATAAAGAAGGTATGAAATATAAACAGGAAATGGATATCTCACCTGGCCCTTGTGCTTTGTAAGAGTGATATCAAACCTTTCCTGTACATCTCTGTCAGTAAGCTCTTTCTTAACCTCTTCAGTCTTGGGCTGTAACGGAGCACCAAATGGAAAAGATGATGTAGTCATTTTCAGTTCAAAATATCAATAAGCTGCGAAAACCAATGATTTAAACCCGAAGATTAAGATTTCAAGGATGAAAAGCTCTATAGCCCCTCGATGTTTTTACATGGAATTTTCCACGTAACACCCGCTAATTCTCGTCAATGGGAACTCAAAAGCAATCGATTTTATCTAAAAACAATCAACTGGACTTGTCAACAAGGGATAAATTGTGAATTCATAACAAGTACATTACTAATTTGGGCTTTTATGAAAAATATGCTGATAGAAGATCAATAATACATGGTTATGTATTAAAAACTATTGAAACTTCAAGATTACGTCAGTTAAACCCATTCTAACTAAAATACCAATAACTTCCGAAAATCAAGTAGATATATAAATGAAAATAAAAAGGCTCGTGGAGCGAGAAAATCAAGATTTACAATTTTGAGGAAATTTACATCAAAGGCAAAAGCAATACAGATATAGTCGGATTCTATCCATTAGCTACATACCTGGTGAAATTCAATCAGGAGATTTTTGCTTGTAAGATATCTTTCCACTGATAGTGCTGCAACACATCCTGATCCAGCGGCAGTAACGGCTTGCCTCCATTCATGATCCTACTCAAAAACGAAAGAAAAGATAATAATTCATGAGGAATCCCGTGATTGCAAGTCAAGTGCACCAGAAACAACTAATATAAGGATAAAGATAGAAAGTTGTATAGTTAAAAAAATATATATCATATAGATGAGTGATTGCGTTCTAAGAAGCACTCATTCGGATATGATATGATATGGGTACGTCGATACAACATTTAAAAAAAATTAGGTTACACTGATACATCTTTTAGAAATATTAGAATATGCGGAGACATCTGTATATGAAATATTTCTCATAAGTTAAATCGTAAAATTTAGCATAATTTCATTACTATAAAAAAATATAAATATTAAAACAAAAAGCCTTACAATAAAAGTAAAATAATATACTAAAGCATTATATAGGAGAGTTTACCTAATAATAAGAAATTATATTTATTTAAAGACATTAAATATATAGGGGAACTTGATCATAATAACGTATAATTTATTAACACATTTTTACAAGTATTAAAAGTTATAATATCAGACACACTTTTAAAAATAAGAAACAAACAATTGATCCATTTTAAAAAATGTTGACTGATTAACCCACTTAAAAAAAAAAAAGGTTTGACGCTGCCGAGGTTTGACTTTCAATTTTCAAGAGCTGTCTTCATATATGTGAAAATAATGCTTAGGGTTTGGCTGTCTCCTTCTCAAATATCTCTCTTCCACTGCACTCGCTGGATAAAGATGACAAGTAAAGGAGTTGTGAGTGAGGAAAAATTTATGCTATACATACCTGCACATCTCCAGCAGCAAATACACCTTCTACAGAAGTTTTTGCTGTGCCCTCCTTGACCAAAATATAGCCTGCTCCATCAAGATCAACTTGTCCTTCCAACAACTGGCTATTTGGTGAATGACCTATTCCATAAAACAAGCCTTTTGCTTCCAGCACTGATTCTTCTTGAGTGTCTCGTTTTTTTATCAAAATGCCTGAAATCTGCCCTTTTGTATTGCTGACGACATCCACAGTCTCTGTATTGAAGTGCACGGTGACGTTTGGATTGTTAAAAACTCTGAAACATTCGCCATAATCAACCTGTTAAACAAATATCCACGGAGTTGAAACTTAAACACATTGTTCATCAGTAATTCAGTTCACCTGAAATAATGCATAACAAATAAAACACAAAACCTTGAAGACATAACAGCAGCAGAATGACCAGAAGGGCAATCAAGAAGTTGGAAAAAAAAAAATAACAAACCATTATGAATGAAACAAAGACTACCATGGCACATTCATATCATATAATGCAACAAAAATCTCCGAGTTAAATTATAGTGTTGTGACATCACGCCATTTGATGCTAAATAAGAATATTATGTTCCAACATCATCCTGGATATTTAGAAATTTTTGAAACAAGACATGTCAGCTAAGATCTCTGAAAGGAGAAACATAGACAAAAGCAAGAGCTATTCATCCGCCAACAATTTTGAAATTGACATGCAAATTTAAGCAATTTCATGCATAAGATGGGCAAGAAAATTGTGACTTGAAAAACACATTGTGTTCACCTATCTTGCATTGCTTTTGATGCCCTTAGTTGGTCACTGCGTACAAGCAAATGAACATGGCGGGCATATTTCGTTAAGTATAATGCTTCCTCTGTAGCTGTATCACCCCCTCCAACCACAGCAAGGACTTGACCTTTAAACAATGGCGATGCCCCATCACATATTGCACAAGCACTAATTCCTCTACTCCAAAATTCATCTTCACGAGGTAACCCCAGCCTCTTTGCAGTGGCTCCCGTAGCAACAATAAGACTATTACATTTTACCTGCAAAGTAAAGAAGATTAACCAAATAAGCAGTACAGTTTACAGAATTACATATCAGAATACTGTGTGCACTGAACTGAGTTCACTATCAATGATGAGTGGAACATTCATAAAAAATACATAAACATACCTAATAGGCGAAAACATATATTTTATGAAGCATGGATAAGTTGACGTGTGATTTTTCGAAAATGTTGGATGTGAACACACCGATTTAGATTTTAAGAGTATAAAAAATAAAAAATATACCATGCAGCATGTCAAACACATGTCCAAATTGTGTACGTATTGGTTACATTCCGGACAAAGAAACTTCAGATTAAGAGGAGTGATTATTCTTCTCAATGTGCATACATTCATATGCTATTTATTTGATAATTCAAACATGTCTACGAGAATATGTGCAGAAGTGACAAAGACTATGTACTTGACAATTGCATAAAATGGGCATTTAGCCCCCGTTTGTTCCCCATTAAATTTTATTGCATTACATTATATTTTTCTCTCTCATATTTTCAACCACACAATCTTCCATAAAATAATCTTACACGTAAATCAACAACTTTCCTTCTTTTTCAACCACTCATTTTTCAAAAAAAATATTATTCCAAACGGGGGCTTAAATGGAACAAGAATGTGGTTAATCATTCCACAAGATTGTTTTTACACCATTATAATGGCATGGGTTAATTCTGTTTAATGAACCGTCTCGTCTAAATTTTTAAGTTGTTAAAGAGAGAATGTACTATGAACACATCCCCTCTCACATGTAGTTTGGATTTATT